AATAATGCAAGTGATTCTACAGATGGTGACAGTGAAACTGGAGGTGCAGCGATGACCTTAGTGGAAGAGAGTTAAACTCTGTTAAAGTAGATGGGTGGACAACCACAGCATATCATGGGCAGTTCTTTGAGTGTGCTAAAATTAGTGTGTCAACAGTTTTCAGTGCCTTTGGTTTTTTTTTCTTACATTCTTTGTTTAAATTTAAGGGAAGTATATGCTATTGTGTATTGTCTTTACATTTTTACAAGTATTCCAATAAAAATAATTTCTTTCCACACACAGTTTTGAATTTGTTTGAATATAACATTTAAACCACATTAAGTGTGCTGTATTTCATTCAAATATTTCAGTTCAAATACGTGTTGCTATTGGGACATAAAAATAACATGGGGGTACTTTTTTAGTTTTATTTTCTAAATATAAGTCAAATAAACATGCTAAATCAGATCATGCACTATTTAGGGCATTGGAAAATTTTCTGGAAAACCAGCATCTCTGTTTATGTGAAACAGGAGGTCAGGCTAAACGATCTCTTCTGCCTTAAAAATCTATGAATCTCCAAGCAGTGCACCCCTTTGCTTCCTAGAATTTGGGGTCTCTCTTGCTGGGCTTACAGGCAGAGGGACCTTAGCTAAATGCAGTCTGGGAAAGCTTGATGGGATTCATCTTAAACACAAAGGTTGGGAAATGATATGTAAACGGTACCTAGAACGCCCTATGGGAACTGCAGTTGTGGCGGCTTGGGCCCAGCCTCTTGCTAATCGCCTGGAAATGCAGCTTAAGCTTGGTATCGTTTGAAAGCTCAGGATCTATGGTTCAGTGTGGTTGCTGAGATATCAAGGTTTCAAGGAGATGTCAGTAGGATTGAATTAAAAAAAAAAAAGGAAATAGGAATTGAATTACAATTGAATAGGGTGGGGTATAAGGAACAATTGTAGCACATGAAAACATAATGGGAACTGCCCTGGGAGTGAACGTTTATGTTGTAATTCATAACTCTTGTGTCCTCGGTCTCAAGTAAAATAAAATTATGCTGCCTTCAGCAGCAAATGTGATGACCCTATATTCTTCTCATTCAGGGAGAGGATATGCCAGGCTGAGCTCACAGATGCATCAGACTGGTAGCACTGTAATCCTCAAAAATTCCAAAATCATGAAGCAGGACACACGCACACTCTCTCTCTCTCGCTTAAAATAAAATCCCCTGATTTGAAGGTGTGATGCATGGTGGGCTTTTTTATTTGATTTCCTTTTGTGAGTACTTAGGGGGGCCTAGTTTTCAAACTTTACCTCTATGACCAGGAAAGCATAGGAACTTACAGGGAAAGGTGAGATTTTGACATAATCACAGGATTTCAGGAGCTGGGCCCTGAAGGAAAAAAAATATCCAGCAAGACTGAGAATAGAAGGAGTTGGCAATCCTGAGCCAGAAAGCAGCTTTAATGATTTAGCCAAAGTACTTCTATGGGATCCCTCATCATAGTATCTGATTGCCTTTTCCTCCTTTACCTCCCCTGTGAGTTTCCCTATTTTGCACAGGTAGAAAGAACTAAGGCACATTAGAGGTATAGTACATGACTTGCTCAGTGTTCATACAGGAAACCTGTGGCAGAACAGAGTTGAATTGAAGTCTCCTAAGTCTGAATCAAATGTCCTGACCACTTGGACCATTCTTTCCAATAGCCATGGGGAATCACAGCAGAGTTACCTTCTCAGTTGGTTTGAAGTGGGCTAGGTTTTGCCCCATCTTGCAGAACAGGGCACGATGCTATTCCACAACCCCCAAGGAGTCCTCCAGAGTCTCTGTGGGTCTACATGGAAGGCCCATACCTCTGGGCCAACCTGTGATTCCTGGAAATCTAGCTAACCTCCCTACTGCCTGACAGTGGGGCTCCAATGGTTATTTTTTTTCCTCTCTGTACCAGAGGTTCTCAACCTTTTTAGACTCGAGGCAGCCCTGGATAGGCTCAAGGCACCCCTTGGAAAATGCCAGCTCTTAGTTTTTAGCCTTTTTTTTTAGTACAGAAAAATAATAGAGCAGCTTTTCTGTTGCAAGGAACTCAGAAAGATCACGGCTGTGGATTTCTAATTGAAATTTATGGGTTTATCTTGTGAGTCATGTTTGTAAACCTAATAGTACTAACATTGTATGGTACCCTGTGGCACACTTGAACAGACTGTGCCAATCTCCAGTCTCAAGGCACCCTAGCATGCTGTGGTACCCTGGTTGAAAATTAGTTACTGTTTCATACTGAGCCTAGGAAAAGACTATAGTAGTTCAGAAACTGTAGAGTGGTAACTATAGCTGAATGCTGATTACAGGAAGCACTACAAGTGGATGAAAATGTCACATACAGATTAGAATTTAGGTCATGAGGTATTGTAGAATATTGAACTCCTTCCATAGTCTGACGTGGTTTTCCACCCAGACTTTAAAGGCTGTTCTATATTTGGCTCACCTGTCTTCTGGATCCACCCCTTCCTCACTGATGACTGAGATAATGTTAAATGTACTTGGATCTTTTAGGTCATGGGCTTTGTATTGTTTGGTTCCTGCAACAAAACAAAACAGAATTTCCTAGGGCTGAATTTTTCTCTTATGAGCAAGCAGTTTGGGTGTAACCAAGTGGCAGGATTTGGCCCTTACTATTCCAGTAGCTGAAATTTGAAGCTAGTATGAAGAAACCTGACATCTCTGAGATAATTTTGGTGAAAAGAAAATGCATTTTGTTTGGTTTGAAAAAAAAATAAAATAATATACTCTGTGTGTGTAACTCCATCGCCAACACTGCCAAGTGGCCCTTGTGGTTCACTTGGCGGCTCGAAGCACACTAAAAAAAATGTTACACAGTTCGCACCATGCGACTGCGCATCTATCCCTATACCTGTACCCCACCCACTACCCTCCTCAGAGGGGCTAATCTTGAAAAAATCTATGCCAGACCCCTCTCCACCAATTGTGATTAGAAAAGAAAGCAGCACATTTTCTCCTCAATGTTGGTGACTATAATAAAATCTCAGTCACCAGAGAATAGCTTCCCAAAGGGCTGATTGACTTAGCTGAAGCAGGAAGAGGTAGTAAGAAGTCCCTCCAAGCCCAATCTTTTATGATGGTCCCTTGGGGGCTTGTACAGCCTGCATCATAACCTCTGCAGCCAGCACCTCACTGCTGTTGGTACCTGAGCTACCTAGATCAAAGCTTGTTCAGCAGCGTCTGAATATGCTTCAAACCCTACCTCTGACTGCAGCATAGACGGCGTTTTGGTGTCACAGTTCCTTATTTGTCTCCCATCCCCCTTGCCAGAGTGAAGCAGCCTGCCATTGGTTCATTCTGATAGCAGGTAACTTCCTCTTCTGAATCAGTAGAATTCCTTGTTGACAGGGAGAAGGCAGATCAAAGACTTTTTATTCCATGCCTATTTCTTGCTTATCTGCTTAGCCAAAGGTATTAATGGCCCAATGAAGACTGCTCCCTGACCACTAGTGCACAGACTAGAAGACTGGGGAAACCACCACAAAAGAGTACGGAGGTATTGTCCACCGTCTCATTCCCATGAGGCAATGCATAAAGTAAATACCAGTGTTGCCTGAGAGGAATACAGGGCCTGATCCAAAGCCATCCATTAAACTTTGTACCAGGTCCAGAGCCTGCAAACACGCAGAATACTAATTCTGCTGATTACAGAATTGAAACATTAATGCCAGAGGATGGACAGGAAATGCTTCCATAGTTTTCATAAGAAGGAGCAAGGATCTTGCAAGTGGCAAACATCTTTTATCAATAGAAATAAACTCATTTCCATGCTGCCTGCCAAGAGTAGGTATTTCTTTTGGGACTGTGTTATTGGAGGGGATTGTTCTTTCTGCTTACCTATGGCAAAAAAAAATACTTAAACAGTTTAAAGGAGCTGAATTGCCTTGCATAAATTAGATTGCAACAGAGACTTCATCTGGTTTATTAATGAGATTGTAGCAAAGGCTCTGACTAGCTTCAGAGTGCCCGGAACGTCACACACTCTTTGATTTTTGCCACCCTGGTTCATGCTGAACATCCATTGAATCCAGCAGGGGTTACTTGTTTAGTAAGGCATCATTCGGTATGAAGAAAAGGGTGGGAGCACAGTGTTACCCCCAATGATTGTTGGAGACTTCCGTATATTTTACTACCTGAGGAGTAGATTGGAGCCTTGCCATCTGCCCTGCCTGAGGGAGCTATGCTGAGCTGTAGCACCCCAGGAGCAGGCTGGAGAACCAGCTGTGCTTTGAAGGCTTGATTAGAGCCAATTGATAACCCAGGCTTCCAGGCTGCAGGAAGGTTTTAGTTTTGGTTTTGGTCCAAAACCAAATGTTCTTTAAATCTTCAGTGAATTGAAAGTGCTTGGACCATCTCAGTGAAGATGACATTCTTGTCTGCTTTACTGTTAATACTAAGAATGCCAATATCCTTGAGCAAATGCAGGAAGCTCCTGGTATTCCTTTGGCCTTAAGCAGATAAGTTAGTGGACTGCCCAAGGCCTGAGAGCCTGGCTTTGCAGCAGATCTATCTGAAATCCAGGCAGGGCTTTCTCAGAACTTAGCTTTGGAGTTGGCGAAAGGTTGCCAAAACAGATGTTGGGGGGCTAAGGAACCAGTTTAGGTCAACAAATCAACATTTTTTTTGTTTCATCAGAAAATTATGGACTGGTTTTGTTTTTAGTTCTTCTCTGCTCCTGTGAATTTACCCTTTGCTTCCCACACTGTGCTTCTGGCCAGGACTCTTTTCTCTCCCTTCCCTGTTCTGCCCCTTCTTTGTCTGCTTACACACGCTGGGAAGTTTCAAGCTGGTGTTCCCTGACCATGGCCCAAGACACGATCTGAACAAGACCCTATGGGTGAGTAACAAGGGATCTTTGACAATCCGTCGTCTTTGTTTTCACCAAGCATAACAATGGAGGTAGATGTTTGGCAGCTGGGGTTTTTTGATCATACATAACTGCCTGCAAAGAACAGACCATCTAAACATGTTGTCATAGCACTAATCTGCCTAGGAGTACTTATCTTTCCAAAACTAGCCCATTGTTTAATGAATGAATTCTTTTTCTGGTTGATGCACTTCCGGATGTTACCATACAAAATTCCACTCTGTTAGCAGCATGTAAAATATTGCAGAATGTTTTTGAAGGATCTAATCTTGCAAGCCTGGCTCACAGGAAAAGCATCCTTGAGATCCGGGGGGCTGTTTACCCAAGAACAAACTGCAGAGCTGGATTCAGAATTGGTCTTCTCTGTTGCTTACACACTAGATGGGTCCTATTTCAGAGCAGAGATAGTGGGCACAACCTCACTGGAGCTGGATAAACTGACAACAAATCTGAGTTTGGCCCCATGCTACTCAGAATAAGTATATTCTAAGTGCTTGCTATTTGAATTTTAAATTTGTCTTGTAAATTGTAACCAGTTCAGAGTAAGTTAGAGAGATGAATGCTGTTCCCTGGAAAATCTCTGCAACATTTTTGTACATAATACAAACCAGCATTCAACCTGGAATAGGAATCACTATGTTGATCAGTTAGTATTTGTAATTCATTTTTCCTGTATCCATATAAACAATCCAAGAGAAGAACATCCAACCATGGCAGGTCAAATATCTTAAGTTTTTATAGTTAAAATGTTAAAAATAAAACAGTGGGCTGGCTCCACAGTCTTTCACTGAGGAACTTTAACCTTTTTTGTCGAGTCCCTTAAGAGTTTCCAAATCATTTGTACTCATCCTTAACATTGACTAGATGTTCACATTTTCTTAGAGTAGATCTGACTGCCTCCCAGTTCCTTGCTTTCAGGGTGCATTGTTAATCGTGTTTCTCATAACAAAAACAACTGTACCAAGGTCTCTCTCTCAAGACAAGGGAGGAAGGATGATTTAGTAATTGGAGTGCTCCTCTGGGACCTGGAAAGCATGGGGTGAGTTCTTTACTCTGCCACAGGCTTCCTGCATGATCTTGGGAGGTCTCTTAGCCTTTCTTTGTCTCAACTGCACAGCTCTGAAATGGGATAATAGCATTTTCCTACTGTGCAGGGGCTTTGTGAAGATAAACCCACTAGAGAGTGTGAGGTGGTCAAATATTATGCTTGGGTGGAGCTATACACAGTTGTGAGGGGAATGTGGTCTTGTGGACAGAGCAGTCTATGACCTGGAGCCAGGAACCTGGGATTGTATTTCTGGTTCTGCTGCTCACTTGGTCTGTGACCTGTACAAGTTAATTAGGGCTGTTGCTGTTCACATCTGAAATCAATGGGATTTTGCCATAGACTGTAAAAGAAACAAGAGCATATTCTTAATTTCTCCATGTTTTTTTTAATCTTGCCAATAAGATGGATATTGTTATATTCACTTATTCACCTCGCAACAACACTGTCACTTATTCACCTCACAACAACACTGCCAGGCATGATTAGAGCCCATTCTAACATTTGGGGGGTGAATTTCTTCCAAACATTTTCCTATCCAAATCAATAAGACAGCTGTTATATTCTGGGACTGCAGCTGCTACTTCTGCCACAGCCAGAGATGTAGCAAAGCTCTGAAACAGGAGAGAATCTGTACATATAAGGATGGCTTTTTCCTCAAGGGTACCCTTTCCTCCCACTTCCACCCTGCTTTGCATAACTATTATTACTAAATAAGATGTAAATGTAGTTAATGTGTCATTTTAGAAACTTGCAAGAATCCTTTCCGTTTCTTTTGCTGCATCTCTTTTATGTAATCAATAGGCTGTCTATAACCTTTACCTGTTTAACTAGTCACACTACTTCCAACAGAATCTACTTCATTCCTTTCCTCATAAATTACACCATGTCAGTTTTCAGGCAGCTTTACTGTATTCTGAGTGACTGGCTGTCTTTATTAACTGATAATGCTGCTAAGACAGCTTTGATCCTATATTATTTATGGAAATGATGGCATATAATTCTGAGTAGCTGATTAATGCTGCATGTATTTTTAATGTACTAGTTTTACTATGTGATTTGTGCTAAATGATTAAACCATGCTGCATTCCTGCATTAAGTTGCTTATGAAAACCATGTCTAAGGATCATATATATTTTCTTACACTGTTTCAATTTCTATACATCCTTTCCTTTCAGGGTCACTTTGTCACTGCCATTAACACATGATGCATTTATGTTTTATTGGTAACAATTGAGAAGCCAGCAGCAGCATTACGCCGACCATGAATGTACAGCATATTTGTTGCTAGATTCACAGAATATATAGAAGAGAAAATAACCTATTAGGTTATCTAATGATTCCCTTTTCAAGTGTACGGCAATTTCCTGTAGCATCTTTTTATGCATCTTTGTCTAGTCTAGATTTGAAGGTCTTAAATTGTGAGCCTTCCACTACTTCCATAATCCATGTTACTAAGGATTATTGCCCATCTGTGTGAAGCAAGATAGGGTCCTGTGCAACATCAGTATCTCCCAGGGGAGGGAAGATGTGTGTAAAAAGGATAGGAAGATGGAAGGGTGGTTGCCGTACATGGTATATTCTCCACTATTGCCCAGAGTCTGGGAAGCTGCCCTGTGGAGTTGGGGCTCTAGCATGCTGAAGAGAGCTGCTGGGTGGAGGGGTCAAACCTTCTCTGCATTCTTGCCGTTATTTCCTCTGAGATTGTCAGGCAGGGTTTAGAAGCAGCACTTATTTTTGATATGCATTGTCTTCTCTCTGCATATGGGGAATAAAGGTGGAGTGGTGTTTGTTGAGGGAAAAGGTTTCTGGGTATCAGCTGAGAAGGACTGGCCCCCTTCTGGCTACTCCAGAACCCTTACAGCTGGGTACAGTGATTTCTCTCCCATCCTTTCCACAGCCAGTTATAGTCTACCTTCTCAGAGGATGACTTCAGGTGGAGTGGTAGAGTTTACCAAGCCCCCCTCTCAACCTTCCAATTGCAGAATTTATTGTAGAATGATATGATATGAACCTGTGTTAGAAAAGCTGATGTTATTTTGAGAGTGATTATTGTTGTGGTAGTGTTTAGGAAGGAGCCTCTGGCACAGTGTTAGACTATGCAAACAGAACAAAACAACAGTCCCCCTTTTCTACCCAGTGCAGCAAGTAGAGCATCAGCACCTCTTCTACCACTTAATGACCTGACACCTACATTCAGTAGTAGATTACAGAGCAAAAGAAACAGAAATTCTGTCAGTAGAGGTTTCAACCAAGTTGAGAACCCATTGTGCCAAGTACTAAACTGGTGAAAATAAGAGCCCTGAAGAGCCCACAATGTCAAACACAAAACAGGGTGGAAGGGACTCCCTGGATGCTCAAGTCCAGACCCTGCTATTGCAGACAACCATGTTGTATAATTTGTCTCCTAAACATGGCAGGTCACTGTGACAAACAAGGAAAGAGTTTGGAGTGGAAAGGATGGTTACGTAACTACAATAACAGGATATTTTGTCATAAATTAGTTGCATGCATAACACTGAGCGAGTTCTTAGCAGACACTGCAAGACTGGGAGGACAACTTCAGTAGTTCCTAGGGAGAAAAAGGGAAACTAATCTAAATCAGGGGATGCAATTATTGTCTTCAATAGCCCAACATTTAAAAATCGAAGTTAGTGGATACTAAGGAAACAACTTTGTGTGGCAAGTATCTCAGCAATGTCTGTACTTGCCATAGTTAGGCAGTGACTCATCCTGAGGACACCACCTAAGTCATAAGATCTTCCGTGCTCCAAAAATAAATATATTTTAGTTGTTCTCTGTGACCACAATTTGTAATGCAGCCTTTAGATCCCTGCCTTTATTTTGCACTCAGCTCAGGACTTGGGAATCCCCTTCAGATTCCAAGTGGATTGGAAATGGCCAAGTGTTTTCACAGTGATTCTGTTGTTTAGAGGCAGTTTCTAAATGCGAAAATGGACTTAAAACCCTTTCAGAAAAAATGTGGCAACAAAGTATTTCCTGTCGCTCACTTACATTTTAGGTGACAAGCACAAACGTTGCTCACGTTGTGGTATTCTTCAGCACTCTGATATTTCTGAACAAATAATTATTATCAGTACTCTAGGATGTGGTAACATTTATCATTTTCTGGGATGATGATGTTATACTAGTGAGTTGGGGAATCCAAGCCCTATATCAGTCTCAGTCCTGTAGCTGATGTTCTCTGTTTCCCCAGGCAAGCTGCTTAACTTAGTAATGGGCCAGATCTCCTTCCCAACACACTCATACATCAGGTGCAAATTGCATCTTCTAGTGCCAGCAAAGGCTGTTGCATTCCCCTAGGGGATTTCACCCCTGCGAACAGACAATAATGTTTTTTGGGGTTTTTTTTTAAATTTTACTTGG